GCCGGTTCGTTTTCCCTCAGTATTTCTACACAGGGAGTCACTTTATGTCCATTAGCTAGTTCAGGTGCATGGTCTGGTGATCTCCACTGGTGTGGTGGTGAGGGTTTGCTCACTGGATGTGAGGGTTCAAGCTCTTTGATCAGTGAGAGCACTACGCCAGCATTTCCTATGTGGGTGAAAGCTTTCACCACTGAATGTAATTTAAAAGGTGGCCAGTCCTTGAAAATGCTGAGCCCTGCCCAGGTCTTTCGAAGAACACTGTGCACTTGAGAGGATGGTGGGTCCTCCAGCTTCACAACACAGTGAGCTTTTCCTTGCAAATGGTGAGAGTTTAGACATAACTCATGTGTTTAGTATTACTATTGTCTGTTGGTGGGCATCTCCAGTACTTGGCCTGGGTGAATTTGGTATAATCCTTACATGTCTCAGTCTCTCTCTGTGCTGTAGAAGGTGCTCAGGAGTCTAACTCTGGTCTAGGGAATTCATAGTGGGGGAGATACTGAAAAGACAGGTATTGTGGCACTTAAAATTTGAGGTGGCAGAGTTTAAGGTCTTCTCTGGATCTTTGGATTCTGTTTTTCAGAATAGTTTGCTTCTGAACTTTGGGTGTTTTCTTTTCCTCCCTTTCTTCCAAATGAAGTAAATCGACTTCTACTGGACTATACGTTTAACCTTCCCATTCCCAGGAACATATGGGCTAATCCACTAATATTTTAGGGTTTTTAAAGGTGAATCTTAAGACAAAAGCTAACTTTAAGTGTTCAAAATAGTATTAAGAAAATTGTACAGGAAATCTTGACTTGGGTATCTTCCTTCATATAACTCAATGGGAGGAGTACTGTGGTTGTAAAGCATGAGGAATTCCTGAGCTTCCCTCTGTCTGTTAGACTTGGGAAGAGACTCATTTCAAATCTCACCAGGGTGAGCAGTATGAATCCTGAAAGAACTTCCATACTTCATTTTCTGTGCTATACTTTGTGGCGTGCTCTACTTTGACTGCAGCTAATCAAGTTACTAGAACATGATGCCTCTGGTGACAAATGGTGCAAGTTTGCCCTGCTGCTCCCAAAGCACAGATGTTCCTGGCACAGGAGCATAACTTCCAGATGCTACATAGAAAAAATAGTCCCCTTTTTATTCAGCAAAGCTGCTTTACAGTATCAGTATGGCATTATCCAGGCCTGGGATTTTCCAAGGTGAGACAGGCACCAAGATCCAAATACAAGGTTATGACATAGTAACTTTTATGGGCACTCTCAAAGTTTCCAGCCTAAGATGTTAACAGGAATGACAATTTTAATTACTGTTTGTGATTACACGTAGAACTACTGTATGAGAGGAAGCTCCCTAAAAATCTGTCATTTTAGGCAAAATCACACTAAATATTTTATTTTCTTAAGACTGTTTAATGCCATCAAAAACTCACAGCCTCATGACACAAAACACTAACTGCCATAATCATTACTTCAATCTCTAATTCAGCCTGCTAGTTCAAATGTTCAAAGGCTGGCTCAAGATTTTGGAAGGGGTAAATGAATTTTGGCAGACTTACAGCTACGTCAGATACCATCTGTCTTCTCTTTCTATCAGATCCAGCTGGGCGGCCAACCCAAACAGCGTTTTGAGTGCTTGGACTCAATAAATCAGAAATTTATGGGCACATAATCTATTAAAAAGAAATCAAAAGATTTGGCATGTTTTTCCTAGCCTATCTACTCAGGACAAGACTAAGCCGCCGATGCTTACAATGCTCTATTGATGAAAGAATGGCTACACCAGGTGAAACCAGGGCCATCTTGCCCTCTGCAGCAATGGATGCCTACAAAAGAATAAAGAAACAGGCAATGACACGATGCCTCCCCAGAATACTCTTTCATTCTCTACCAATTTATGGCTCAGGAACGTCCTCAGTCAGAGGTACGACCTTTGCAGTTAATAGTACTTAATGCCCGGTACTTGTCGAAATCAGGAATTTCTAGCATCCATAACAAGGTTTCCTGCTTAACTGTGTCTGTAAAGAGCTTCCTATTTTTTCCCCTCTGAATCTGCTACCTGTTAGTCATTCTGCCAGAGCTGGTCCCATTTCCCACCTTGGTTCATTCAGTAAGACAGAGATTACAAGAAGATAAAAATTGCTGCCTCATGGAACGGAGTTTGAATGATTTTTCTTCATCGCATACATGCACGTATTCTTCACCTAGTGTCATCAGTACAGATCATTGCCTGGTTCTTTGCTGTAATTCGTAGAGTCCTCTAACTCAACTCTAACTCAAATGCTCTGAGAGCAGAGCTTGGGCATTTGCAAGGTCTCAACAGGAACGTGCACTCAGCTGAGGAGTTTCCAGTCCCTTTGCATGGTAGCTTACCCCAGCAGCCAGAACTGCTATCATACAGTAACACACCAACATTCAATTTTCCTGTCTTCTGAACAGCACAAACTCTATTTCTGCAGACTTGCTCATGTAAGTCAGCAGAAGATGAGTCATCTGGAAAAAAACTCTAATCATTTGTCCCCTAGGAGTCATATAGTAAGTTAATTATTGTACAACACACTCTAATACAAAATACATGAGAAGTTTCAACTTGTTGAGGTTGCAGAGGGCAAGAGAGCTTTTGAAAATTTCCATCGGTTATGCTCAGGGAATGCTGGGTTTCCCTGGACTCAGTATCTATTGCATAATCAGAAACACATTTGGTTCCCTTTGTTGTATGAGACAGAGCTAAAGAAATTCGTGTGTGTTATTATTTTACAAAACCAAAGAGTAGATACCTAATTGGCTGAGGTAATGTATGCAGTGTTTATAAACACAACTGCTCTGGGGCAGTTCCTCAGCTGATGAAAACTAGTACAGCTTATATCAGTTGAAATAATACTCTCCTAAATCTGCAAATACCCCATCAGCACTGTATGGGAAGTCAAAATATAGGAATGTGATGTGCCATATGGATTTTAGGTAGCATTGTGTTAAAACCTGCTTGCCTGGAGTTCACCTGTCGGTGTACTGGACTTGAATCTGATCATCGTTGTGTTTTAGTTATTCATACTCAGTCATCATGGCTTTGTTGGGCTATTGTGTGGCTGTTATCTCAGCAGGAGATAACCTTATCAGTGTTCAGAGAGGAAAATCAGAAAACAATGAAAATGCCTTCAGCCTCTGAATTTTTTCTCTTGAGAATCAGAAACAAATAACATTTCTGACTTCCGAAACAGTAAAGCAGAAAGACTTTTCCCAGTAGTTATGGCACGTTGTTTTAAAACCTCCAGTTCTTCTTATTTACAGATCCTCGTTACAGGAAGGAAAAACTGGCATTAAAGGTGCCGATTTAAAGTTACTAATTTGGTGAACTCATAATTATAGACACGGCTCTGGCAAGAGATTCAGTTTCCTGATCAGTCATTTGGCAGATCTACATGATGACCTCTCTTCTTTCTTGGAATTATCACATTAGAAAAATTAATTACTTAAAAATAATCTTTGTTGACAAATGAGCTTGAATCTTCACAGTCACTTTGGATCTTCCAGTATTTGACCTGCAAAATACAGCATCTATTCGATTTTCTCTTTTTCTATAAATAAGTCAAATTCTTGGAAGTGTATTCATTGATCTGTCATGGAGACAGATGCCAATCAGGTATCTGAAAAACAAATAAGCAATCCAGATTGGGCAAGAAGCAACAGCAAGCATACGGTGGTACCGTAATCCCAAATTATGCCATCATCTCATCTGAATGCCTTCAGTAATGGAGAAATAATACCCATTCCATATAATGACAGACCTCTGTGGTCATTAAGAAACATGTGAAGTTCCACCTTTTTTTGATCAAAATACAAAATAAAACTGCAGTTGATGCCATCTCCTGTTGAACCTTGCTAAACATGCGTAGGCAGTGGATGACAGTCAGTAACCTTCAAGACTCTGCCTTAAAGCGGAGGAACTTCCTTGGAAGCTCCCTCTCAATTTCAGAAGTCCTCCTCTGTTTCTGGGACTGACTGAAATGTTGAAATAACTTTATATCAAGAAAGGACAGACACTAATCACACTGTTATTACATTTGCTTCCAAGACTGATCTCATATGGCCAAATGTACTAAGACCAAGTAGGCAGGTCCATCATCCAGTACAGACTAGCTAACACATCATAATAAAGGCAGCAAAAACTTTCAATGTGGTAAGGAATCAGTATCAAGTAAGAGCAGTTATTTTATTTCTCACTGTATCAAACAATCATGACGTAGATGAATGTACTGCCAGACTTCTACTGCTTTCAGGCAATAATTTAGGAGCAAAGACTGGAAGACCAATGTACATCCTTCAGCCTTTCCCCTCAAGCAATATGATAATACACTTTGGATTTTAAAATGCTTCTTTATCACTTCAGAGGCTTACAGAATTCTTATCTTCCTGCTCTAAAAACAAAGTTCAATATTATTCTTAATTACAGACTTTGCTAAGCAAAGGGAAGGATTGTTTGGCAGGAAACAAGTCCTTTATTTAAGGAAGTAAATTCTTAATTTCTTTTTGCTACATAGCCTATGGTACACACTGAGAACACTATTCTATCACCCAAGGAAGGCAGAGAACGCAGTGGACTTTATTTCGGTACATTTAAGTGACAGACATGACTACAAAGGAGGAGGGAAAAGATCCAAGAGATACTGAGGCAGACTTCAGGTGCTGTCTGACTAATAATGGCAGG